ATTTTTTCTTCAAAATAAAGTAATGAATTAAAACTTCCTGCAAATGCTTTTTTTGGCATGAAATTTGACATTTTTAAGCGTAAAAATATCTATGATGTTAACACCTTCAGCAAATTTGACATGAAGTTTTGAAGCTTGCTGTCAATACAATAAAATAGCATACATATCAAATCGCATATATATCAACATATGTGTAACTCCATCTATTAAAAAAAAAATCCACTTTAGTAACTGGTACACCTGGTATTTGCAAGTTAATGTTCTGCACACAGATCCCATCTTTGCATCTACCAACATTCACCAACTGTGCTTAGAAAGAAAAGCAACAAATACAAAATGAAAATTTTTTCTTGATACAGTATTTTTTTTTTAAGTTTCTCAGCATATTACTTTGGGGTTCAAATCAGTGGTTAAAAAACTTATGTGCAGAAGGTGGCGCTTCAGGCAACGGACAGCACAGCCATTCTCTTCAAAGGGGAGCCAGGAGTTGCTAACTTGGTGGCGGCTATGAGACCCACAACTATAATGATGAGCTGCAGTTCTTAGAAAAAATCAATAAAGCTCGGGGCAATGTTGCTAAGTGGCTAGAGTGTTGGCCTGTACACCAAATGGTCTCGGGTTCAATTCCCGATCAAGGGCACAGACCTTGGTTGCAGGTTCCATCCCCTTTCCTGGTCGGGTCCATGCAGGAGGCAACTAATCAAAGTGTTTCTTTCACATCAATGTTTTTCTTTCTCTCTCTCTCTCTCTCTCTCTCCTCTCCCCTTCTCCCTCTCCCCATTCCTTTCTCTCTCTCCCTTCTCCTTCTCCCTCTTCCTTCCTCCCTTCTACTCTCTCTAAAAATCAATGGGAAAAATATCCTCAGGTGAGGAGTAACAAAAAAATTCAAAAAACAAAATAAAGATCAATAAAAACTGCTAGAGAGACCTGGTAGGTGTGGCTCAGTTGGCTGGACATTGTCCCATACTCCACAAGATTGCCAGTTCAAGTCCCAGAGTACATGCCTGGTTTCGGGCTCGATCCCTGGTAGGGGGCGTGCGGGAGGCAGGCGACCCTGGTTCCCTCTTACAGTGATGTTTCTCGCTTTCTCTCTTTTTCCCATCCTCTCTCTCTAAAAATCAATTTTTAATAAAAGAGTTTAAAAAAACCAAAAAAACTGCTGGAGAATCAAGTAGGGCTTTGTGTCCAACATGTAGGTTGAAGGAGTTTTCTATTGAATGATGCTCTGGGAACGTTACTATTTGAGGAAGTAAGAAAATGCCTGTCGCAGGTTATGGATTTGCTATTGTGATTATGGCAGCCTTTGATATGAATGACCCTGAAGCAGTGGTGCCCCAGGTGACATCAGATTTTACATTAAATGCGGTGTCCACTTGCTAAGAACCAATGTAGATGAAAGTGAAGTCCCACCTGTGAAGGAGCACCTTGCCCAAGCTATGTTTGACCACATTCCTGTTGGGGTGGGGTTCAAAGGTATCATCCCAATGAATGCCAAAGACCTGGAGGAAGCCTTGGAGATCGGTGTGGACTGGTCAATAAGAGAAGACTATGCCTGGGCTGAAGACAAGGAGCGTTGTGAGAATGCTACAAGCTGATCTCAATAAAGTCGCTGCGAGAGCTAAAAAAATAGGCCTTCCTCGGTTGGTGACCCCGCGAGCAGGTAACCACTATGCAGAAATTCAAGTTGTGGATGAGATTTTCAATGAGTATGCTGCTACGAAGATGGGCACTGACCATAATGGATGGGTGTGTGAGATGATCCACAGTGGAAGCAGAGGCTTGGCCACCCAGTAGCCCCAGATGCCCTAGTTGCTATGGAAAAAGCCAGGAAGAGAGACAAGATTATAGTCAATGATCATCTGTTGGCTTGCATTCAAATAGTTTCTCCAGAAAGTCAGGACTACCTGAAGAGAATGGCAGCGGCAGGGAACTATGCTCTTCCATGACCTTCTTAACCTGCCAGGCTTTTGCTAAGGTCTTCAGTACAGCCCCTGATGACTTAGACCTACATGTGATCTATGATGTCTCTCACAATATCTCCAAAATCGAATAGCATGCAGTGGACGGAAAACAACGGACCCTGTTAGTTCACATAAAGGGATCCAGCTGAGCTTTCCTTCCTCACTGCTATTGATTATCAACTCACTGGACAACCAGTCCTCACTGGTGGCACCATGGGAACCCACAGTTATGTTCTTACTGGCACTGAACAGGACATGACAGAGACCTTTGGAACAACCTGCTGTGCACTGTCCCCAGCAAAATCTTGACATTGATTTAGATTTCCAGGATGCCTTAGACAAATTGGCAGATGTGGGAATTGCAATTCGTGCTGCCTCACCCAAACTGTTTATGGAAGAGGCTCTGAAGTCCTATAAGAATGTGACAGATGCTGTGAACACCTGCCAGGATACTGGAATCAGCAGGAGGCCATTAAATTGAGACCAAGGGCTGTTATCAAACGGTAGACTCCAATGACCCTCACTGAAATAGAAATGGACTGAAATGCTCTTCAGACACCAAGACTCAGAAACCTGCCCTAGTTGATTTGGCTCACTGGATAGAGCATCAGCCTGCACACTGAAGGGTCTCGGGTTCGATTCTGGCCGCAGTCAGGGGCACATGTGGGAGGGAACCAATCAATTGTTCCTCTCACATCACTGTTTCTGTCTGTCTCTCCTCCTTCCTTCCACTCTCTCTAAAAAATCAATGAAAAGCCCTAACGGGTTTGGCTCAGTGGCTAGTGTCAGCCTGCAGACTGAAAGGTCAGAGGTTCAATTCCAGTCAAGGGCATGTACCTTGGTTTTGGGCACATCCCCAGTAGGGGGTGTGCAGGAGGTAGCTGATCAATGTTTCTCTCTCATGCATGTTTCTAACTCTCTAGCCCTCTCCCTTCCTCTCTGTAAATGAATAAATAAAATGTATTTAAAAAAAATAAAATAAAAATCAGTGAAAAAATATCCTCAGATGAGGATTAACAACAAAAAGACTCAGAGGCCTGCCAGGTTCCAAAGTGTGCAGCTGTAACTGCCCATTGCAAATGGCTGACGGAGGCTCCTGCGTCAGGAGCCAGTACGTTAAAATTACCTTCTGGGAGGAGTCACATGGTCCCCTTTGGAAAGGAATGTATATGCTTCCTCCCTGGTTATCCCACAGATTTTTAGGGAAATTAGTGGGTGGGGATAGTTCAAGAAACTGCCTTACTCGGTCACACAAGTCTTTAATCATCAGAATAAACTTCTTTACACCGAGAGGTGTCATGAAGAACATTTTCATTATTCAGAAGGATTCCTTTTTGCCCCCTTTTGTCACATTGTCCATTCACCCACCATCTAGCCCGTTCCCCTGCACTGAACAAAATCCTAAATACCACTCTTACTTGGAGGGTATCCATGGGTCATGTCAGGATGTTAGGCGATTGAATAAGGGCCACCTTGAGGAGAGAATATGTGTGGCAGTGTAAGAATAGGGGCCCAAAAGAAAAAAATAATTGTTCATAAACTTGCTACCTTTCTCATTCTAAATATAAGGCAGAGTTTTGACTTAATCTGCAAAATGGCATCAGCTGGTATCTGTCATTAATTAGTCCTGGTCTGGGAAACTTTCTGGAATAAAAACTTGCACAATAGCAGCAATATCTTTACATGGGTGACCGAAAACAGGAGGCTGCTGCATCTGTGATGCTGATGACTGCTTGTGTTGACAAGACTAATCTTTTGCCACTAATTAGATTTCATGCTATATACTGTACTGTGACACCTTGAAGATAAAGTTATAGGAGTAGGCCTCTGTTGAGCCCAAATAGCCAGTAAAATGGGAAAATCTAATAAAGCTGCAATATGTTGCTAAAAATCAAAAAACAAAAAAAATCTTTTGTGCAAAAAGGAAATACTGACTACGAATCGCTTTTACTGTGAAATGAACACAACTTAAAATGATGTTTCATAATACTTCAAATTGACATAGCTCTACACTACTTGTGTGAATTTATATCTAGTTTATTGTTTGTACATATGTAACATACTAAAAATAAGTAATTCTGGCAGACCTGGAGAAATTCTTTCATTTAAAAGGAGTACATACAAATTTGAAAAACACTGTCCCTAAGAAATAAAATTTTCAAAATACATTATGGCACAATATATCAATGTTTTTTCACCTTAAGGGGAAAAAAAAAAAAACCCACAGGAGTCAGAGAAAGATATAGGAAACTTAAGAACAACTTGTAAGTATAAAAGGAAAACAGTATAAAAGCTGAGAAACTATCACAACAAATTAAGTCTCTCAAAGAAAATGAAACACCCCCCCAAAAAAGAAACCCAATTTCTTGGAAGTATAGAAATATCTTACTGTTTAGTTATAAAACTTCAAAGTTTACATAGTGTCAAAAATAAACATATACTCACCCACATTTTACTAGTAGCTATTAGAAAAGCAATCTAATGAATGCCCCTACAGTCGTAAATGAAATATTTGAAAAACTAAATTATTGCCGAAATATTAGATTAATAAATTATTAAACTGCTAGAAGCTATATTAAAAGCAATAAAAAACCAGAATGCTTAATGTATACTTTAATCATTAGGAAACTCAGCTTCCCTTTGGGCAAATACTGCTGAAGTCATAATTCTTTCCTCATTTACTTTTGAAGACATTTCAGAAACATGATAATTCTAAAACAAAATAAAAGAGAAGCTTGAAAGGAAGGAAATTGGATGGGGAATCAAGAAACAGAAGTCCAAGTCCTGGTTCTCCAAATTATTCTGTGTGGCTCCAGGCAAGTCATTTACAACTCTTAATATTTCTACTCATTTCTTAGTGATGGAATAGAAACCAAGAATGTCTCTAAATAGAGTTCCTCAGGAAGAACCCACCTTGCATATAAATAATGCTGTTACCTGAGTACATTAAAGATCAAAAAATGTCTTTGAGGGAGGAAACACAGGGCCCATCACTAAGAACTGCATGTAAGAGGCAAGAATAGCAAAAAAAAACTATACCTTCAGGTTTTGGGGTCTTGTGAACTTGTTGAGAAGTGCAGTCTGAATGAGCTCCCACCTGCTCCCTGCAGTTCGCTCACCATTCTTTAAGGAAAAGAAAAAAATGAGAAAACTACTCTAAGTTTTTTTGCATCATAGAAGCAAGAGTCAAACAAGAATGTACTAAACTACCAAAGACTAAAGGAATATAAGCTTTGTTTTTACCTCATCTTCCACAGGGTACAAGTTTTGTTCTGAACAAGGCATCTTTACATGCTTATTGTCCCACAAATCTTTAAAATGTGTTGGAAAAGGTTTAGGAACTTCTCCTGCCCGTAAAAGATCTACCTGGAAGAGAGATTAACAAGAAAATTTTAAGGGTATAAAAACTAGGTGTATCATCTACAAAAGAAGTCAAATAAAGCAGCCAAAGCAAATGCTGTAAAATACAGACTAGCTCCTAGGGAAGAGACCTAAGCTGCTTAGCAGTTTCCACTCCTTACCTCCATTTAATCAGTTGCCTGGTCACCATGCTCGGACATCTATCTCCATCCCATCGAGGCCTCTAATCCTCATTATTCCTTGCCTGAATTTCTGCCAACAGCCCTCTCTCCCTTTGCCTCACTCCAGCTGTTCCCAGAACATTCATCCCTCTTTCACATTTCATGCTCATTTGAGAATGACATTATCTTTCTCAAGTATTCCCAGGCCTGCCCCTCTTATTTTAAAAAATAAAATATACTGTTATTGATTTCAGAGAGGAAGAGAGGGAGAGAGAGATAAAGCATCAATAATGAGAGAGGATCATTGATCGGCTGCCTCCTGCACACCTCCTACTGGGGATCCAGCCTGCAACCCAGGCATGTGCCCTGACCGAGAATCGAAGTGTGACCTCCTGGTTCATAGATAGATGCTCAACTGCTGAGCCACATCAACCAGGCTCCAGGCTTCTAATCTTATAATGACTCCTCTCTGCCTATACTCCGATTCCAAATGATATTCCCAGTTTTTAACATCTTGTCTTATCCAAACACTATCTGGTTAAACATCTATTCTGACCTTTAACACTCAGCCCAATTTTCATTTCCTCTAAGAAGTCTTCAAAAACTTTTAAATGGTAGTTCGTTTACCAGCGGTTCTCAACCTGTGGGTCACGACCCCTTTAGGGGGTCGAATGACCCTTTCACAGGGGTCGCTTAAGACCATCGGAAAACACATATATAATTACATATTGTTAACAGTAGCAAAATTTCAGTTATGAAGTAGCAATGAAAATAATTTTATGGTTGGGGGTCACCACAACATGAGGAACTGTATTAAAGGGTCACTGCATTAGGAAGGTTGAGAACCACTGGTTTACTCCCTCTTGTTTTATTAGGTCATTATCATAGTAGAGCACAATGGTTTTTCCTTACCCCACTAGACTCTAATCTTCTTGAGAATAATAATAATCATATTAACTTTGTATTCTGAATATTTCCTAAAGAATAAAGCATGTATTTATATGTATAATGTATACACATATATGTAAATATGCACATTTATGTTTGTATACACATATGCTATTTATAATAAGCATTCAGTAAATGTTTAGAAAGGAGATATTTTAAAACACAAAAGTTTTGCCCTGGCCAGTCAAAACAAAGACCATAACAAGAGACAAAGAAGGCCACTACATAATACTAAAGGGAATGATTCAACAAGAAAATATAACCCTTGTAAACATATAAGCACCCAATACTTGAGCACCCAAATATATAAAAAAAACTCTTGGTGGACTTTAAGGGAGAGATCGACAGCAATACATTCTTAGTAGGGGACTTTAAAATCTCACTGGCTAGATCTTCCAGACAAAAAAATAAACAAGGAAACAGAGGCCTTAAATGACACAATAGATCAGATGGATCTAACTGATATTAACAGAACATTTCACCCCAAAACTACAGAATATACATTATTCTCAAGTACACAAGAAACATTCTCAAAGATAGACCACATGTCTGGACACAAAACAAATGTATACAAATTCAAGAAGACTGATATAATACCAAGCATCTTTTTGGATCACAATGGCATGAAGTTAGAAATCAATAAACTACAATAAAATACCTCAAAAACACGCAAATACATGGAAGCTAAATAGCATGTTATTAAACAATGAATGGTTTACCAATTAGGTCAAGAAATTCAAAACTTCCTGGAAATAAAAGAAAAAACACACACAACTACCCAAAACCTATGAGACACAGTGAAAGCAGTCCTGAGAGGGAAGTTCTTAGCATTACAGTCCTTCCTCAAGAAACAAGAAAAAGCACTAATAAGACATCTAACCGGACAACTAAATGAATTATAAAGAGGACAGCAAGAAAAGTTCAGAGGAAGTAGGAGGAAGGAAATAATACAGATCAGAGCAGAAATAAATGACATAGAGACTAAAAAAAAAGTAAAAAAAAAAAACAAAACAAAACCACAATGCATCTAAGAGCTGGTTCTTTGAAAAGATAAACAAGATTGATGAACCCTTAGCCAGGCTCATCAAGAAACATAATGAAATCAGAAATGAAAGAAATGATATAACCACAGAAATATAAAGGATTGTAAGTAAATACTATGAACAACTATATGCCAACAAATGGGATAAACTGGGCAAAATGGACAAATACCTAAACCATACAATCATCCAAAACTCAATCAGGAATAATCAGAAAACCTGAATAGGCCACTAACAACTGATAAAATTGAAGCAGTTATTTAAAAACTCCCACCAAGCCCGACCGGCATGGCTCAATGATCGAGCATCGACCTATGAACCGGGAGGTCATGGTTCAATACCTAGTAAGGGTATATGCCCAGGTTGCGGGTTCGATCCCCAGTGGGGGACATGCAGAAGGCAGCCAATCAATGATTCTCTCTCATCATTGATGTTTCTAACTCTCTCCCTCTCCCTTCCTCTATGAAATCAATAAAAA